AAGACTATAACTCATAGGAATGACAAAAATACAATCACATCTAATCTAGGACATCAGAGTTAAAAGTGAAATGTAAAGATCATATCTTAATAACAATAATTTTGCAATAGGAATGAATGTTATAGTAATTTACACACTAAACGAGACATTATGATATAAAATAAATCAAACATGAAACTAGATTTCAAGACTTCACAAACTTTGGATTAAACGAGACAGTGACCCGATAAATAGCTTTCATTGTTCGTCGTTACTTTCGTATTCCGTTCAATTCATAAACTTTGACAAATGAACTAAGGTATACAAATATCCAGTCTTATTTTAAGGGCCGATATATAGTGAAATCACCGAGTGAAACTAAAACTAGATACAGGGTGCTAGGTAAATGCACCTCCATCAAAATCCAATCCTGGTACACGTAGGTGCAGATTGAAAAAAGTCAATGTCAGACAGGTTAAACGATATTCACAATCAATGAAGTGTTTCATCAGCGAGTTGTTCCACGTCGGTAAGTGGAGGGTTCTTGGTTGTGTCTCAATGGACGTCATACCTTAAAGTCAATTGCTATAGAACAGTTGAATTCACCTCTTTCTTCACATTATGAATTAAGTGACAGTACTGCTTATTTCTCGATTTCACCTCACTAAAAATTTCATGTCATCTTTTGTTATCCATTCCATTTGAAATTATTTACTCTTTTCTTCTAGTCATCTTGTTAATTTAATTTCTCTGTACGATATGAAATGTATCAATTCACAGCAATAAGTATTCCTAACTCAGTGACAAGAGTCATTTATTCTTACAGCTTAAAGGAACAGATTACTGGATGATTTCAAGAAAACTGTATCAGAAGTTACGTAGGTATTTTATATACGCGTTATTCAAAATATTATGACAAACATGTTAAATGTAAGTCGCATTATTTGTTTTCAAAGGTGCTGATATTGAGTTAATGTGATTACATGCACTAAACTTATTCGTTGCATAGATTTTAATTGTGTTCAAAAAATAAATACTCTCAGTTCGTCCTTTTCTTAATTTCCTCCTCAGCTGGAAGTTGGTTTGTTATCTCCCACAATAAGCTGTTGCTAATGGTATCCGGCCAACGGACATTGAGTATCTTACATAGACAATTGTTTATAAATACTTGTACGTTTTTGATGATGGTTGTGATAGTTCTCCAAGTTCCGGTCACATACAGTGGATCTGTCTTGACATTTGTATTGAAGATTGTGACTTTGATATTGGTTGACAGATATTTTGAGTTGCATATGTTATTCAACTTTAGGAATGCTGTCCTTGCATTGACAATCCTCACCTTTACGTCTGCATAAGATGCTCCACGTTCATCGATTATGCTATCCAGATAAGTGAAACTTCCCAACTCTTCCAGAGTTTCTCCGTCAAATGTGATTGGGTTGATGTTCTCTGTATTGCATTTGAGGATCTTGCTTTTTCCTTGTGTAGGTTAAGGCCTACTACTGCAGAGGCTTCTGCTACACTGGCTATCTTCACCTGCATTTGTTGGTGTATATGGGATAGAAGGATCAGGTCATCTGCAAAGTCCGAATCGTCTAATTGCATCCAATCTGTCCGCTGTATTTCGTGCTTCCCCTCATGTGAAGGTCTTCATAATCCAATCAACCACTAGAGGGAAGAATAAGAGGGAAAGCAAGCAGCCTATCATGACTCCGGTCCTCACTTGGAATGAATCTATCACTTGTCCTGCATAAGCGTCTTTGCAGTTTACTCAGTCGTATGAAATTGACGATTTTCTCAGGTACTCCATATTGTCGAAGACGTTTTCATAGTCATACTATCTACACTGTCAAATACTTTCTCATAGTCAAGGAAGTTAATATATAGTAACGGATTCCATCCAATTGATTGCTCAACAATGGTCCGTAGTGTCGTGATTCTGTCTGTACACGACCGATCCTTACGGAGTCCACTCTGTTGATCTCGAAGCTAGACGTCTACTGAATCTTTCATCCGGCTCAGCATCATTATGTTGAAAACTTTTCCCGTTACCGATAATAGTGTGGTGTCTCCGTAGTTCTCACATTTGTTCAGATCTCTTTTCTGTGGTATCTTGATGAGGTATCCTTCCTTCCAGTTTATCGGCATTTGCCCTTCCTCTCAAAACTTCCTGAATAGAGTGTGAAGCATGTTTGCAGTTACTTCTATGTCTGACTTTGGTGCTTCGGTTGGTATATTGTCAGGTCCTACTGCTTTCCCACTCGATTTGTCTGATGGCCATCCTAATTTCTTCCGTAGTTGGTGAAGTGACATCTATAGAAAGGTCTGTGTATGCTGCCTTGATGTCCGGTGGGTTCAGTGGGACAGGTTTATTCAAGAGTTCCTCAAAGTGTTTTACTAACCTGTTCCTCTGTCCTCGAATCTCAATGTCTGTCTTATCCTTGACTGGTCTCTCTGGCTCACTATATTTGCCTACCACTTTCTCCTTTGTATTATATGGTTGTTTCATGTTTCCTTCTCTTGAAGCATTTTCCGCTGTCGTTTCTAGATCTTTCATGTATTGCTGCTTGTCAGCTTTAATGCTCTTCTTCACTTACTTGTTTTCTTGTGTATTCAGTTTGTGCCTTGACTTTCCCTGCCCGTGTTCGACTGTTGTTAAGTGCCAAGTGGTGATCTGATGCTATGTCAGCACCTCTCATGGTTTTCACGTCTCCCATTATCCTTCTCAAATTTCAATTGATACAAATATGATCTATCTGGTTCTGTGTAATGTGATCCGGTGAAATCCACGTAACTTTCTGTATGAGTTTGTATGGGAATATTGTACCGCCTATAACCAATTTGTTGGATGAATATAGATTTGCAAATCTCCCATCATTTTCGTTTCTCTCTCTCTCTCTGTCAGTCCATGTCGTCCTGTGATATCTCTAAATCCAGTGTTGTCCATTCCGACTTCGGTGATTAGGTCTCCCATCAGGATGTTGAGATCCTTTCTTGGGCACTCCTCCATAATTGATTGCAGCCTCTGGTAAAAGTAAACTTAATCGTTGTCACTGTCATCATGGGTGAGTGCATAACATTGGATTCCATCGCTCTTTATTTTGAAGGATGCTTTGATGATCCCGGATCCATTAGACGCCCATCCCATAAATGCATTTCGTGCTTCTTTGGACAGCATCAGAGCAACTCCATAAATGTGTATAGCATTTCCCTCTTCGTGACCGGAGAACAACAGCATCTCTACCGTTTTTCAGTTTAGGTCCAATGGGTTTTGCTGATTTCGAGGACCCCCAAGTTGTATCTCCTCATTTCCGTTGACTGGTACTTCTGGTCTCCCACATTATCCGTACATTCCATGGACCTATAAAAGTTCTTGCTTTGTTTGCTGGAAGAGGGATCGGTCTCGTGACTTCCGGAAAATCTCGGCTTTTATCATGATGCGTCATGATTCTTCCTTCTGAGCAATTTTATTGTGACCAAACATGTAGTAATGGATAAAACCATTACTATTGTTATTTTCATTGCCACATTGTCATTAAGGTGAAATAAGCTTTAAGAGTTTATTATATTGAAAATTATAAAAAAATAAACTCAACAGACTTATTTCATGTCTTCAATTCGTAGCTAAATAAAGTTTAGTTAACCTTAATACCTACATAATTTAAAAGACGTTCATGTAATGGTAAAATAATCGAAATATTGAACGATGAAATGTAAACATAAACAGTTAAGATTGATCTCATCCATTTCAAAGTACATTTTATTCAATCAGAATGTTAAAAAAAACTGCAACATATTTATTGTTGATTTGTTATTGAAGCAATCTTCGATAACCAGAGAGATGAGTAAACTCTAAAACCGCTTTCACTTAGTTGTGATAAAATCACACAGATCGCCCTCGTTATATGGTGGCATAACATTACTTGTTTACTGGTCAATTTCGATAGGAAATAATTCTAGGTACAGAATTCACTACAATTTAGCACGCTAAATATTTCCATACTTAAGGGTTCAGTATTTCGACATGATATTACTGATTGTAAAGTGGCCTTTCTGTACTTAAATAAACGTTATGTGACCTTAACTGAGCTTCGATTTTACGATATAAAGGTTAAACCCTACTTATTTCATGACAAAAATAAATCAAAACTATAAGCTCATTCGAAGTACAACGTATAAAACAACCAGCACTTCCATATTGGCTAGGTAACGTATATGGTGAACTGATTTAAATATGTAACGTTTGCTAGAACACTGTAATTTGCGGGAAACGACACGTTCGACAGACAAAAAGATTGAAACTACCCAGTGAGTCATCAGACGACTGGTCTATAAAATCAACAGCAGGCTTATCGATACACATACGCAAGTATATGAATCAAATTTCGTGTCCCCTTTGTCTTCTTGGTACTCACAGACTTAGCCAATTGCATAAAGGATATAGTGTTGAATAGAAATGTGTGCGCTCTTTAATTTAGTTAACATTAACATTACTACTTTGTTGACATTTGCGGAATCCAAGTTTATAACATTTCAATATATTTTTTAATCCACAATAGGATGTAAATTATTGATTTTTCTTATATCAACAGGTTTATGAAGTTATTTAGAGTAGATTTCACCTATGAACTGATAGAACAATGATTGAAATGCCAAGATATTGAAAAACACTAGTTCAAGCTTATCTTCATTCATGTACTATCAAATTAATGAGGTAAATCACGACGATCAACTTAATTTTGAAGAGTTACTTAGAAATCCTTTAATACTGGCATTGTATTCACTATACACTATAGGAAAACGACTTTTCTACGTTGAATTCGATTTGTTTGACGGTTGATGTTTACAGTTGTATGGCTGACTTAAAAATATATAAGTATTCTAACTCTGATATGATAAATATCATGGAAATTTTGTTTAAGCTATAGACGACCAAATTCAATCAAAATCTTAAAAACAACTTATAGTGAGAAAAACATACGGTACATCTTAATAAGTTGTGCCGATAAGTAAAAAACTTTAGACTAACTCTTTATCACTAAGGTGGCTGATACATAACACGATCACAATACACAGTCCGATTGGAAAGACTTATTCACCAATATGTTATGTAGCATGTAATAACAGATTATGGATTATGTATACAACTTACGAGTAAATACATCAATAATTCATAATTTATATTCGATAGGAAACAAATTGTATGTAAGTACATGAGATGAACACTGTGAAAAACACACAAATGTAGTTAGTAGTAACCTTGCACATTCTCATGAATACGTTGAAATATTCCCAAAACAGGAACAAGAAATAATAACAAGAGTAATGTGAAATAAAGAACAAAAACACACTTAAGCCGATATAGTCAAACCAATAATTTATGTTCACTCAGATATAAAAGTATCAGCGAGAAACAAAAAACCAGTAAGGAACTAGGAAGAAATTTGATAGACCAGAATGGATAATCACCATTACGGTATAAATAAGTAGTGACAACAGTAAAAAGAATGTGACATAATAGTAATAAAAGAATAAACACTAAAAGACAGCGAAAAATGAGCCGCACTAGATATGAGATCGATAAATCCAGTCCACAAAATACACAGGTTTACCAAAATCGGGGTTTATTTCAAGAACAACAACCATGAGGATAGTAAGATACTCATATTTCAATACGATTACATTGGTTAAGTGATAAATTTGTAACTGAATGGTTCATTTGTGTGCTGCAAATGTTTGATGAAGCAGTATATACAAGACATTGTTGATTTTCGGCATTCACTGTACAAATAACATTGTTAATATTAACATTATTATTATCATCATCATGAATATTATTATTTATATTACTCGATGTAACAACACAAGAATTAACACTATTAGTATTATTCGTGGTTAGCACAGCCGGTAGAAATGGTAAAGTTAAATTCAAACTTTTATATAACCTTTGATAATGTGGTAGAATTTCATATTCAGATGGAATTAGAGAAAACTCTAAACCTAATGCAACATCTAATTCTGTGTTGATTAAATCACGACGTGAGATACGAAAAGCTGTCTCCAATTCCTAAAAAAAAAGAAACAAAGGAAAAGTAACGCTGAAAAGACCACATACAACAAAAGCGATAATGAATCTTCTACCAAAAAGATGAATATCAAAATATGATAACTAAATGAGATTAAAAAAATGAAATTCCATACCAGAATGACTCAGACAAGAATAGAAGAATGGTATCACTTCCGACAATAACAAACTCATATTACACATGAACAGATGAACAATCTATTGTTCAACAAAGTTTTAGAGACGTAATTAGTATCAAAATAAACAGATGCTTTGTAAAAAGTTCATAAAATAATTAGTAGTACGATTTCAAACATTCATAAATTATGTGACATTCTTTGCTTAAATGTTATCCGCGTGTTGTAAATTGGGCCTCAATAGATTAAAAAGTTTTAGATAAGAAAAGAAACACTAGAAGGCAAATGACGTCAATCATAATGGACAGCTAAACATAATTCCAAGAGAACAAACGAGATCAATAAATAAAATGTATAAAACTGACACTAGGAAGACTTGGGAGCTAGAAAATATAGCTGCAATAACGCCACGGATTATGTCACCAAACTTCCAAAATAAAATATTGTGGCTGTTATTAAGTGTCTGACTATGAATTCCGCACCTCTTCCGTAAGGCTTAAGCTTCCAGATCATTTTCAATCTATTCCTATGTAAAGTACCACTCCACATCGAAATAAGAAGTCCCATGCATTTGTTACATGCATTCAAAATTTAAAATAAGTGGAACACATCTTGATAATTTTAGTCTATAGGATTAAAACATTTTATCAAGTAACTCATTTACACAGCAAAAAACTCCAATTCTATTACCCATTCATCAATTTCATCAACATAAGCATTCAGGGGATTTACAAGACAACCTACTATAAATGTATTCTATTGACAGTACCACAATGAAATTAACAGATTTTCGTGACTAGTCTATTGATACTTTACAATATCCGTCAGTCAGTCAGTAACAACGTAGAACTTCGTACGTACTTACATCAGTTCGAGTTGCCACACCACATTAGCACAGAGATGCACTTGTCGATTCAAATCCCGTAGTGGTAGAGGTAATAAGAGTATAAGCAGTAATCGGGAAGATTAGGGTTTGGAGATGTTATTTAAAGAGTATAATCCAGTGAAATAAATTTGGGAAGAGAAAAAAAAGAGACAAGGAGGAATCAGATCAAAATTTGGGAGGAAACAAAGAGTGGATGCACATGCGCCGTTGCAAACGATTTTGAGCTATGTCATTCAAGGTCTCTAACCATCGGTTGCTATCATCTCATGGTCGCCAACCAGGTAGTCTACACCTACCAACATGACTCAGTCCACTTGTCAGTGACTTCATGGACTTGTGCCATGTTTTGGTCTGGCCGCCTCTAGCTTTCTTCCAACCTACTCCTATACAACAAAACATCGCACATCGAGGCAGTCGGTCGTTGGGCATACGTAACACGTGTCCCAGCCATCTCAACTGATGAAGTTTCATCACTTCATCAATCGACTTGCCATCCTTACCTAGTACCCGTTTCCTAACAACTGCATTACTTACTCGATGGTCCCATGATATACGAGCAATGTTTCGAAGACACCTATGATCGAATACTAGTAACCTACGAATATCCTCTACTCTTACCGGCCATGTTTCACTGCCATAAAGTAGGACGGGACTAACTGCTGCGCAGTAAACGCGTCCTTTGATTGATAGACGAAAATCTCGCCTACACCAGAAATGACGCAAGTTGGCAAAAACTAGTCGAGCCTTCTGTATGTATACTGAGACTTCGTCACACACCAGACCACTAGGGCAGATGAAACTTCCAAGATAAGTGAAGCGGTCGACGCGCTCAACTACTGCACTCCCTATCATTAGTTCGGGTGTCGATGCAACCCAATCCTGGAGCGAAATTCTGTATTTCGAGGGGAAGAATCGCATGCCGAACATGCTTGCATTGTTGCTTAGAATGGTCAGAAGACTGCATTTTGTCAGTGTCTTCACCAAATAGAACTATGTCATCGGCATATTCCAAGTCAACAAGTGAATCTCCTGGTAGAAGTTCAACCCCTGGAAATTTAGATGAGGAAAGTGTTATCCCTAAAATTACGTCAATGACAAAGTTAAGCAAGAATGGAGAGAGTGGACAGTCCTGACGAACACCACTTGATGTAATCAATTCTGGTGACAGTTCGCCATAAGCTCTCACTCTACCAGTTGTGTTCGAGTAGAGAGCCTTTACAAGGTTAACGTACTTCTTTGGTACTCCTTTCAGTGACAAACACTGCCATAGAACCTCACGATCAACAGAGTCGAATGCCATATATATATCACACAAAATGTATGGATAAACAATTATCTTGAAAATTTCATAATCAGAATGATTATAATGCGAAACTACGAAAAACAAAGGGCGATATGAATGGTGAAAAACGGATAATTAATAACTAGGTTGACGAATTTCGTTAATCATTTAAAAGATAGGGATAGTCGAGAAAACAAAAACAAGATATTTAATTCGAAAACAAGGGATTTTATCATCAGGATCGTGTTATGATGATCGAAATAAGCCATACATACACAAATACATAAGTAAATTCGATAATGTAACGAGTTAAAAAAGTGAACTTTACATTGATTCTAGATTATGGACGTCTAAAATGTGTCATTTACAGAGTTGAAAGGTTATTTAAAAATGATATAGCCAAATTCATTGTACGTTGTTGAGTTACAACTAGCATCGTAAAATAAATTATTCGCGAATTAAGAATAGGCACGGAGGAAATAAACATACAAAGTAGATTGTGAGGTAAGAATTTACAATGTGCCTTATGTATGGTATGACTCAAACAGAGAAACTGAATAGACTTCTTTTGAATGCATAAGTTGAGTTTTCTAGAGGCGATCCAGGGTTTCTAACTGCATAAACTGATGAATTTTATTTTATTTACTTTAACACATAGATATTGGTACAAGGATGCACCAAATACATATGCGCCACACAAATCTCACTTGATATGTGTGAGGGCTGTGATACTGCCCGGGTGCCCAAACCGAAACAGGTGGTTTTCTTAGAGGGCCACACCCGGATCCTTTGACCTAAAGGCTTGGCCCACAAGGCAGTGGAGCATCGTGAGGAGATGCAGTCCCATGGTAGCCAGTGACCAACGATTGGTTCATACGTCATTTGTTCCTGCAGGATACTGGAGCCCATGTGCACCATTGGTTTGGGATCCGGTTAAAGCATCGGACATTCGCTTTTCGTCCTCTCAATTTCGTAAACAACACCCCCGCCTCGAGAAGGCAGTGGGTAGGACTTCCTTGACAGAAGCCGTGTAAGAGCATTTCGAGAGGGAGGGCGGACTCACCACACTCTCGGCCATACCAGGGTATAGTTAAGACATTATTCACTTTCATAGTGTTCAAAAATATTTTTCAGTCAGAATACAGAACGATAGAGATATCTGCCGTTATTCTTTGTGCTAGAAATTTAAAATCATAGTCAAACAAAAACACCTAAAGAATTGTTTGAACATCAACCACGTATAGATACAAGAACTTACTTGAAGTAAACCGAATAATTGTGAACCTTTTACATCATTCAGTTTCGCACTGATCAAAAGGGAAGCTGAAGCACATAATCTTCTATTCAATTTTGTTAAAAATAACTATAAACCGAAGTGGAAGAGATAAAATAAAAAAATTTCGTTACTTATTGAAGCAAAAGACACAACAAGGAACCATAAAATTAACAGATAAGATAATCTGATTTTTGAAATAGTTGTTGTATAGTACAACTGATGCATAATGCAACTGTAAAACTCAATTAACAACCATCAATGATTAAATTTCATACTACCGCACTAACATTTCTCCCTCCTCATAATCAATAAATGAAGTCTCATAAACACTGAAAAATTTATATTCCATCATTAACGATCATGAGGAAATATAAATTTGTGAGTTAATCTACAAAAAGTCAAGAGTTTGAGAATTAGCCATTGAAGTGACACACTTCAAGTAGCCAGGAATGAAAATCGAGTTTAGGTGTGTGGATCTAAATCTTTAAAATAAAGATCCTATTTTCAATCGATTGTGGTTGAATTTCTGAGAAATAAAGCAGTCTTCACCACCGGCACCTCCGAACAATTACTTATTAGCTGTTATTAATTAGAATAACCAAATAACATCAACTAGGTTGGTTAATATTACAAACGAATGAAAAGGCAGTCATCAATCGGTAATTTCATGAGAAGGTTAAAATTTTTCATTGTTGGAACGTATATATGCTATCCTCATTGAGTTTCCATAGACAGAATTCGATCACGATCTCACCATGTTAGACATTAATAATTATGAGGATTTCCGGTGTTCGAATAAAGCATCATTAAGTAATTTATTTCCACGTAGTTCGTACAAGCTGAGAGAGAATACTTGTAGTTAAATTATACTATATTCCTTATTACGGACCAGAAAAATGAAGCAATCCGATTTGTTGTTGAATGCAGATTCTGACTACTAAACGTTAACTTCGAAATCGTCCTGCTAACGTGTGTTTCGCTCTCTCTTATCAGACTCTATGGCCTACCAAAAATACTATGTGGTATGACGACCCTGCCAAACAAATCATCCCTATATAAGAGAGCAGAGCACTTCTTCTAGAAAAAGTGGGGACCCTGCCCAACATGTTTGCGCAAATTTTGCAGCCCTAGTCAGAGCATCCCTACGTACACTCGATGTCTAACGAATCCGAAAAAATATGGAACGCTTTATGATTTCAGGTGAATGTACGCAAAAATCATGTGATGCATCACTATATATATCAAATGAAAGGGATATTTAAAAGGGTTACAAATAGTTAGAAAATATCGTGTGAGCAGATAGGAGAATTTCGGAAATAGACTGAAAACATATTTAGAAATAACAACCAATCTGCAAAGCATAGGAAGTTGACTCCTATATATTCAAAAAATGAGATTGCATATGACACAACATCAAAAACGATAGGGTCTCTGAAAAATAACACTTATTTCCGAGAGCTAATGAATTTACTGACAAAAGTCATATTACTTTTATTCCATACTTTCTTTTTCTTATATCGCCAATCAAGAATAGTGATTCTGGTCGTGAAATTATCCCCTTTTGTTATAAGTATGAAGTTCAATTACCATTATTTGCCGTTAGCGCAAAGAAACTAGTACATGTTATAACTACTTGACTTTAATATTTCCTTATTAATTTATATTAGGCAATATAATTTTCTGTTAACTTGGCATAAATCCTTTAGTTCCCTTTGTACATTTTCATGGTGAATGAAAAGCAATCAGTGACATTAAAATGTCAATGAGATTCAAACAAAAATGAACAAAATATTACCTTGAGTACTAATTTTTCGAAAAGCACATGAGCATGTGCAACAATCCATAGGTCCATAGACAACTGAAAATTAGAATTTCATATATACAAAATTATTACCATACCAATTTAATGAGATATATATTACTAAATAGAATATAAGTAGTTCAACTTTCAAAGTATAAAATGATATCGTATGTAAATTTAGCCTTACAAGTTAGAGATTGGATTAATGATTTCATTTTTAAAAAACAGTTGAACGAATTTACATAAAATATTTATTGAGGTGAAAAATTCATTTGCTATGCGCGAGACTTGTATGTTTCAGTTACTATTAATAGGAGAATAAGATCTGGTTTAATCGATCATTCGACTGATGAAAAAGGACAAGCACATAGAGACATAAGGTCAACAACAACTTTACAGTAGACGTTCTATGGTTTGAATTATCAACTTGTTAGGTGACGGTAATTGTAGATGAGAATGTGAAAATTACGAGACTGTAATGAATCCAATATACTCAAAAAGAACTGAGCTGAAATCAAACTATTATTCGGCTGATTTAATAAAAATAAATTTGCCGGGATAACAAACAATGTAAGTGAAATCAGTGAAACATTATTGAGTCGCGGTTCTAAGATTATAATAATCTAAAGAAAAGAATGTTAAAATATTATTAAGTCAAATTCAAAGGATGTCAACAATCAGTTTCCTAAAAATACACAAAAAGAAAATTGGGATAAATTAGTGACTCCTAATTAACAATGCATGGTGATTTAGTACATATATTTATGTTCACTAGTGACTGGCTTCAAGATGGATTTCCTGGAGTTCTGGTGAGAAACCGTGACCAATGGAGTCCAATCCGTGTCTGTTGTGAGGCAGTTACTCACTGAAGACAATGGTGGGAAGTCGCGCAACACTGTGGATCGGTTGAATAAAGAGCATGTTTTTTTTTAAATGCAAATAACATGGGTGGTTCATGAGAAGAAGATACGCAAAAACAATTTTTAAGGAATATCTGACATGAAATGAAGTGATATTTAAGACAAAAGTTATTTTTGAAATTTTTTAAATATCCTGATTTAATTTGAATGAATATAAGTATCTCGGTAAAAAATTAAACCACAAAAAATAAATTAAAAACTACACCACTCAATTAGAAACTTTAAAAAAGAACAACTAACGCGTTGAGCAATTTGTACCAATACTAATTTTATGCTACGCAATTTCGTTAATGTTATTTGTATTGATGGAAATCTTTCATGGAATTGTCGATTGACTTCACGCTTACGTTCATTCGGTCGAATATATCCCAAAACACTAGTCTGTAATGGTATAAGTAAATTGAAAAACAGTAGATAAATCATAATGATAGAAGTATAATTTGGTGGAACATATTGCGTTGAGTTTGACAAATCAAGAGGAACCATAAGCCACCAGAAACGATGTTTTCTGTATGAAAAGATGAATAATTCTTTACATTGGTAAAATTGACCAGGAGTGATTTCATACACTTGTTATGAAAGTTTAGTATGATGTTGATTCAATCAATGAATCAGTGTGAAGTGATTCACCGTTAAAATGAGATCAAACAAAGAACACACAAATCATCAGTTGAGATGGTTGAGACATGTATCACACATGACCACCCACTGCTTACCAAGACGTGCGATGTTTGCTGCTATAGAAGAAGACTGTAAGAAAGTTAGGGGCGGCTAAACGAAGACGTGACATCAGTCCGTGAAGTCGCTGACTATTGGATTGAATTATGATGGTAGGTGCAGACTAAGTGTTTGGAGTTCGCGCGATAACTATGAAAGATATTGTAGACGTTGGGTGAAATGACTCATAATCGGTCTTTCACTTTTGTTCTACAAATCTTTTTTCTTACATCGTAAAGCCTATGCTAAGTGTTTATCAGTACCACTGACATGGTTACTAATTTTACTATTTTGGCATTTATCATGATAATTTCATCTTACTGTTTTGCTTCATATGGCGTGGGAATTTGAACCGACGCATAAATGTACCGCAGGTCCTACGTTGCCTGAAACTGGCTTAATCCAAATGGAGAGCATTGTTCACCAACATAGCTGTTGACAAACAGTGAATATCTTACAAAAGTACAACTGTTCAATCTTTAGAAATGAGAAACAGTTACTCCGTTCTGCTGAAAACCTAGATACAGGGTTTTCTATTGACTACATCTAACCAGTAAGAGAATGAAGAACGTTTGGTAGTGATCTCAACTAGGCTGTACTAATTAGAATGCTTCCCATAATTCACAGTCCAGTCAAAATTTTTGTATAAGAAAGTATAGTCCCATTAAATAAAGTAAAAAAAATGTTAGGTCGGAAAAACGTGTAATTAATTATCACATTTCCTAGAGGTTTTATTTTCTCCTTGCACTTAACAAAGATGTTCCCATAAAAGTGAAAGGTAAACAGATATTTAAACCAGATTAATCAGTGTATAGAGTTGATAAACTTTGATATCAATACTGCCACAGTCCCAGATGAAATGTGAGGTTCAATCAAACATAAAGTATTGGGTAGGATCAATTACAGCTTAAATTGGTTTATTTTTTCTAATTTAATTTACCATTTATTACTATTGAATTGCATCAATCCACTCAGTCACGTAAGCATCAGTAACAAAATAGCTACATAAAAATGATAGACGACCAATTGTACGAATAATTTAAACAACTCACCAAATAGTTCGGAAGTTTTAATACACGTTTCCCTGTTGAAACTAATAATTCCGGATCATCCAAAAGAAATGGGTTATAACTTATCAATGGATCTGGATAACCTAAAGCTATAGATGACAATAAGGATAAATTATTACCAAAAACATTACAATTTGTACTGCTTGAACTAGGATTGCGTTGTCTATTAAATGACGTCGTAGAATGATGCCAATGTGTATTAGACGAAGGGGTTACTGTAGAATTACTCAAGAAGCTACGTCGAGAATAATTCGAGTTAAGTATAGCAGAAGCTATGAAAAAAGAGAAAATTAAAATTTGTTTAGTCAAAATAAGCACATAGAATTGATTATTTCCACGAAAAAATGAAATAAATCAACCCTGAGTTCATTTAGCTTACAATTTAAACTTATAATTAACAAAAATAGTACTTCCGTGTTTAATGAAAACATAATTAACAGATACATACGCACAAAGATTAATAAACATGAATAACAGTGTAATCTAATATGAAAAACGTTAAAGGGAAAAAAGTGGACAACTACTGAATTTCATCTCAGTGGTCCTGGATAACCCATCCGCTACAAGATCTGGAAACCATGCATTGAATTTCTGATTGAGTAGTAAATGCGTACTTTTGAGTATTCTAAAACTAGGATAAGACAGGTCATCCAGTACTCCTGGGTTTTCATTGGTTCCCCAAACGATGTCAATCCGTGAAAAAAGAACATCTGCATAAATAGTATTATTATTTGACGACATCAGAAAGCTTGAATCTAGACAATCACTGGTCAAGATGTATCTCTGGTGTTGAGCATACTATTGATCGGTGAAAATGTCTTCAAGACACCAACTGATATGAGTCAGAGATACCGAATGATGAAGACTACATATTGAAGTATGAAAGAGAGATCCATGGAGTCCTCTGTAATATTTTACTCAACACTAAAAGAATATTCGAATAATATTAAAATACACCAGACACTGCAAACCTGATCAATAAAGTTGGATTAAAATTCAGAGATAGACATAATGCTGTTGGTTACCAGGTAGTGGTTAATGACTTCCTAACTATGTTACCTACAAGATTGTATCTTACGAGATAATCCCCACATATTAAATTTTTTAAAGAGATTTTTCATTTATATAGACAATATCTCAAACATGATTATCAAATGTTTAGCCATCTAACACGTTGCTTCTAGGATGAAAAAGTAACTCATCAAGTATAAATTCATATACTCAACTTTGACGCCTGGTGACATTAACCAGTTACCCTAACTAAAATGGAAGGGAACTCTAGTCTGCGACATGGTAGTTGAAACTCGCTCGTCCTAATGGCTAAGCCGCTGCTTCGCCGATACAAAATTATCCAAGTTCAGCTTGGTAACCAGTTATACGGTAGTTGTTAATAACCGTAAAAACAATTTGCTGAATTATACGGTCTAATGAAAATGTAAGGACCACATCGAAATTCAGAGCTTCCAGGAAGTTGAAAATGTACTTGTCAATCATTATATATAGCAGAATAACACAAATTAATGAGCATCTACCAAAATCTAACTTTAGGCAACAACTAGATGGTAATCATCTCTATTAAACTAATGATCTCACTAAGATGATTTTATATCATTCCAAATTTCATAATATCACTAATTTGTTGTAAACTAAAGACAAATCTCGTCAAGAACTTAGTGTGTAAACTCAGGAAACACAACTGACCTCCATCAAATGTTATATGCATAATGGTCACGAAGCAATCAAATTGACTGATATGATATGCATAAATAAATACTAAACAGTACATCGAAATAAGCGCATATATAGACAGAAAACAACATGCACATTTTAAATTGTGTTTGAGACTGTTGATGTATACACTACAAATTTTAATTCTAACTAAAATTACCAATGATGTTAAAAATTAGTAATCAAGTGAAATGCATTAATAAACGTACACATTTGATGTTAAAACAAAAGAACAGTAAACAACTAAAAGATGTAATAATGAATAATAACGATTACAAAACCTGGGTTCATGAATTTCCGTTGAGCACTTTAAATATCAAGGTTATAATAAATTATACTAAGGTGATGTGTTAGTAGTTAGTAAATGATATAATAATTAATCTGAAAGAAGTCAATATTGAGATTTTATTTAATTTACTATTAAATAAATCGAATTGCAGTGATTAAAAGTTGATGAGACTCACTTAAAAATGTTGACGAGCAATAAAGTAAAAAACAAAGTGTTGACTATAGGTCACCTGTCCGTTACAACTAAACATTCAACACTAGCTAACTCATGTAACATTACTACAACTGCAAAAAGTGAGGGGAAAAAACGCAAACCACAATTCTAGAGATTTGTAATAAGATTAAAATTCAACAAGGACTAGGAAAATTCTTTTTATATAAAAAAGACAAAAAACGATGCGGAAAACGTTTATTACTATTATTATTATGCACTGATTGTTAAATGACCTATTCTCACCTTCGTGAAAATGAGTAAACGAATCACAATTTGATCTGAAACCTGGATTTAGTAGAATATCGATTGGATGCCCAACTTTTACAGTATTCTTTGACAATTGGCAATTTGGTTGAATGAAATGAGCATATGAAATTGTCTGAGAATAAAGTAAACAAAAAGAATAACACGACAATACAGATTTTGAAGTTTTGCATTAAAATAACGACTAATGAAAGTAGCGACAATAATGTGTTAACTTATCAAAATGCACAGAACATTTGCCAAACCACAGGTATGCTAAAGGATAGGATGAATAATAAAGTGGTTTTCGAGAAAAAAATATGATAAATTAATTTTGTATTGTTTGTTTGAATCTTCCCAATGATGTTTAGGACTGCATTCGGTCAGCCTCTTATTGGCATATGTGCATTCTGTGTGGATTGCCTCGATATTGCCTTAAGTCACAAGCATTATAAGCAAAAATGAATGTAAATTTCAGCCCATTGCACAAGTTAGTGGCTATCAGGACTCAGTAACTAAGTGGATAATGTGATGCTGTTTAAAGAGAACGGTACTTGGGTTTGAGTCCCGAATTGAATACCAACTATGGGATACAAGTACATCCAGTTGACGAGTCCCAGATAGAGCGAAACGCGCGTCCTGGAGTCCGCCGCTAGCCGCCATTCATCTTTGCGTATAAAGAATATGATATTTAACTAAGAATTTTAGTAAGCGTGCTAGTGAATCCAAGGTAATATTATTAGATCACTAACTGATGAAAAGAATAACTTAAGCCCAACAATTTAAAATGATTCGTTCGGATAGGGTGAATAATTGTAAATATCAAACTTTCAAAACTTTTCTTTGGAGATTCAGCTATGTTAGAAGCATTTAATAAATCATTTAAAAATGTCTTTACATGACCTGAAAATGTTGAGAATACTTCGACCAAAGTGCTTTTTAAAAATTTTAAAGGGTGCTTTCATTATCCTGGTGGATAATTACCCACATTTTTATTAATTTTAGAATGTCTTCTAGAGGCTTTGAGAGCCTTAAAATAACGCATAACTATGAAAACCGTTGTGTTTCTGTAAATGAACGAACCGTCGAAGTAAGGCTTCTTTTATACTTCCCTACTTTTTACTGCTCGAGGATCACGAGTAGATTTCTGGGGACTAGAAAGCGGTTAGGAAGTCAATATTTAAGTATCCAAAAGTAATATATGTCAAGTATAAATGTCTCCCATTTATTAAAAACCGGTTTATGGTACGTAAGAATTTCCTAACTATGAGCTTTCGTTTAACACACTAACTGTTGCTGTGTTTTTTACTATCCCAAAAATACACAAACCTATTACTTGGTTTTTTATCATGAATATCTTGATTATGTACGTAATGACATTTATTAAGTACAGTGTGTTGTAATCTTGTATTTTATGTATATGACTATGACAGCTTTTCAAATCTGGATAAAACAGAATAATACAGGAAATTATAATGGTCTTTTTTGGTGCTTTGATTAGTAGATTAAGAACTGTGAGAATGTCACGTGAACTACATCAATATTACAGCATATGTATAGTAACTGTGTTATCTGACTACCCATATTTAGTGGGGATACAAGCACAAAATCCATGACATTTATCCGAAATGAATTGTAAATTAAAATCTGAATAATCATTAATAATAAGTAATTTAATGGAGACTCATGATATCTGGAAAACTAATCAAATCATTAAGCACTGCCAAACTGATTTTCATTTCATGTGTGTGTAATGAATGATCACTGAGAAGTGACTAAAATCGTGTTTGTTTAGTCCTCAGTGCTGGTCAAATTCGACCGACCAGTTTGCAACGTAGCTACCACTCTGAGTAAAGTGACTAATGAGTGTAAGTACCTGACTCCTACAGGAATTTAATCGCTCCATGAATAGTTTCGTGGTAACATCTCAGATTGTGAATCTGGATAGTCAGCGTTCGAACCTACCAGGGAGCATCAGTTACTTTAAGACTGCAAATACTACATTTTGACGAGTGATAAGTAGCAGGAAACTTAGGTGCAAAGTTTCCTGAAGACTACCTAGAACCATATAACATTCCATATATTTATGTATAATATAGAGAAATCCTAAACTAGTAACAAAATAGTAACCATCTAGTGTTTGCAAGTTTTCAATGATTTTCTAACTGACGTCAATCCCCGACGAAAATCACAATTCAAATTCTATATCCATTAATCCAGATTTTATAAAAACTGTATATACGTGTACGATAGGTATTCATTTCATTTAAAACATAAGTAAAATAGGTTATTATATAAGATCGATGTACAAGTTTTCTTATATATCTATGTATATGTAATGGTCATGAAATAACATCAAATGATATTTTACACTTCATTGACAAGTACATGTGATTGTTGATCAAATCTACTTAGGAATCCCCAGTCTGTATACTGAGAGGATAATACGTAATCAACAACAATACGCAACCCTAACATAAGGATAATTTATATCCCCATGGAAGTATAGGCAAGGTCAATGTCCATTCAAATACAAAACGCCATAGTTGAGGGATTTGCGTTCCAAAGAACTATCTATAAAGATGGTATACTTTATAATTGACCTGAATTTTATTTACTTAGTAGTTTCACCACAAGAGATTGCTGCTGAATAAATAGTTACGTCTGAATAACAAAAACCTTTTGATTTGTTTACTTTCAGAGACTAAGTCTAACAGCTGTATAGTCAATCAAATAGAACACACTATTAAGCTCCAAATTAAGAAGCAAAAATTTTGTCAATCTCACTGGTACCATACGCTAATAAGTACCAATCGAACTCCTACTATTCACTATTAGTTTGTAGGTCATCACCAGAATAGTTAGTGCAACCTATAGAGCCCAGAATTAAACCTATAAAGATAAATTACCATATCTGTACAGTTTCCTAGTTAATTAATAACGATAATATAATCTAGTATATTTTCGATCTAGATTGAGTAGAATCATATAACACATTTATACGTTTATTTCTTTACCTCACCATTAACAGGTCGAAACGAGCTAAGACTTAACACATTATGAACAAAATTGGATTGAGGGTTAAGATCTTTAACATGTGTAACACCGGTGGATATAGAAGTCTGTGGTAGGCGGGCTGAACTTGCGGGAGACTGAAACTGTTGCACACCTGAAGAAAGTTTGTGGGAACTGGGAGGAAGGATATGACGACGTCCAACTCTAAATAAAAGAACCATACATAAAGTGTTTATCAAATGATTAAGTATGAAAATGTTGTCAAATGCTACCGATAGAACAAAACAATATAGAGGTGAGAACAAATATTTCCAAGAAAATCTAACCGCGCTGTATTAATTATTCTTTAAGCTTCCCTGTCACTGTTCATGGATCGATGAGACAATTAATAATGATGCTATTTCTTTTCCAAGTTCCCCAAGAAAAGATGTGTTTATCATAATCCCAACTCATTGCATCATGGCGACACCAACAGCTGTTTCTTCATCAAAGTAAGCAAAGTAAACAAAATAATTTGAGATTATTACATAGGAAACCTATTCTCTAATCTATCAATATAAACAGTTGTTTGAATGAATTTTATTTAACACCTGTTATAATCTCTCTTTCTTACGGTATGACCCAGCTATACCTATTGCTTAATATTCTTGGACACCAATCACTCGACAAGTCCCCAAATCAGAACACGGTTGAACAGGAAAGAGATTATATTCCAAATAACAAGGTTAGATGGAAGTAAGATGCAAGCAAGAAACATAATAGGGAAAATGTCAGTATATTTATAGTTTTTACATGAGAAGATTCTAGAGTATTCTCCAACTATCGGCTAGTGCTGATTGGATAAGAATTAGCCAATCAGCGTGCACTGAAGCAATCGTGCATTGAGCATGCTTTAATCCAGTCTATGTCCCGCTAACAACACCAATTGACTAAACTGTCTACTAAGATAGATAATCTGTTTAAAAAACACATAGCATCAGCAAGGACTACGAAAGTTCACTGCATCTTAGGAACAACTAAGTAATAAAGTCAGACTTAAATACTGATGTAGGTTCAGATATGTGCGAAATTACGCGTGTCCTAAGCGTTATGGGTACGCCTAGAAGCGAAGGAGATAAATTAGACACTACATGTTGAGTTTCGACGAGACATTTGATATCAGATATTTTACATTAATATCCCAAAGTGCTTAGTTTAATGGCCACACAAAGAGCTTGGTTAGGATTATAAGACTGAAGAACATAAGAGCAGCTACCTGAAACCCTGAGGTCTTCACTATCTTTCTAGACGACATCAACATATATTTTTAACAGTACTTTAAAAAGTATACATTGATGATATAGTTTAGAAAGAAAATGTAAGGTTCACGATACCAAAACACAAAGCTCAGAAAGCACAATATCTTTAATATCAACCGCCTAAGCTACAAATCCTCTCTATCATCTCATTTATCAACAAATCGGTTGACTAATCGTAAAAAGTTTTTAAAACTTTGTAAGAAATAACTAAAGTTAGTCAACTGAATTTAAGAAGTTTTACCTGAAGTGAGATCCCGTTGTTTTACGATGATATGGTAAAACTGAAAACAAAGTAACTGGTTTCCCACTAGCACCTAGGGGGCTTAATGCCATTCTAAAACAAAATTAAAAACAAACAAACAAATTTGGATAACACATTCTGCTTTATCTATATAAAACAAATAACGGAGTTGCTAATTAAAATAACGATAAATAATAAGTTATGAGTGAAATTTTATGATATCGTTGGTAAATGAACGATACAAATAAAAAAAGATCAAAATAGTCAATATGTAGGTACGAAACAAGTATTTTTTATAATATTAGTATGCATACATACGTCTTCACTGTTACAACAAGACAAATGATGACAAAATAAGTTGGGACTACTAAGCAATACAAGTTCAGATGTTGCTTAAGTGTAGTATAAGTTTCTTTAAACTTTCAGATACTTTTTTCTTACCAGGCCTAAATAGTATAGAATTCTGGGAAATGACCATCTATCGATAGCATAGGATACCAAGTTCATTTATTGCTCGTAAATAATTTAACTTATTACATGTCCTTCGTACACTAAACTACTCATATTTACATTTATTGACGAATAGAAACTAAACAAAGAAAATATTCGTGATACAACTACTATGATTGTATACAGATATAATTATATTTAAAGATAGTAGTCAGAATGAATCGACACAATAGTATCATAAGATACTAGAACGATAAACATCTGAGTATCTACTTATAAAGTCAACCATCAAAAAACAAAAATACATTTTGATTTGAACGATTCCAATTTATGTGTATAAACACGCTAAAAAGAGAAGACAAAAACCCACTATGTATATAGATATAGATTGTTGCATAAGTTACATGTTAAAAAAATAGGACTATAGGATAGACAATGGTCATTCTTTAAGCATGAAATTTTAGCTAATATACAATAATATCAAATAAATGAGCCTGTTTTTTTTCTCATTAAATTGTTAAAATTATTTTACTTTAAGAAAACAATATTCTGTTCAACAAGAGACGACAAAGTAAGTGATATAACGTAACAACGCTAAGGCATAATACAAATGGTCCACTTGTAGTGTACGATACTTATTTCTGTCGACATAAGTAGTATGCAACACCAGTCGAAAGTTGAATAACTGACAGCAGAAGGCTAAGAAAATCGAACTGAAGAAAATAGAAAAGGAGATAGAAAAGAATCAGATAGAATGTAAAGGATAAATGATGGAAATTCGCAAATGAAGTATTCAGTGTATGGTTCTCATATTTTAGCAAGATGTCCTATAGTTTCGTATTAAACAACAAACTGGTTAACCCCACTTGAGTTATCGTTCACGAAACACTAACACGTAAAAATGAATTGCACCAATTGTATTTTTAAAAGGAATTTACTAAACCCCTATTCACTCAGCTTAAATTACGGGTCAGTCACATGAAATAAGCCTGCATGACATTAATTTTTCAAATTGATTCACGTGTGAACACACACAAAAATGTCAGGAAAAAAGGAAATTATTTTGTTCGAATAAGGATGAATTAATTGTGAACATTTAAAACGCAAACTACCGAACTACGGGAGTTTTAAAAAAGTACAGATGTATTAAAAATATTAATGAAATGAGGAATAACTAAATGAAATGAATAACACATCCACTATTGAGAAAAGTAAAATAGATTAGATCTATGAAAGAGAGACTAATTTATTTAATCATGTTAGTTATGATTAAACATTGATTTCTATCATATATAGTATGAAAAAGGATTTCGACAAAATAACATAAATCTATCTAATTTCACTACAACTTTACCAGTTTTTTACAAACTCTAGGATTTTAAGATCAAAATTATGAATAAAGTTAGCAACATAGCTGAAGTTGGTTCAAAGTCGTGCGGCGTAGATTTAAATGAAATTAATAAGATTGAAAAAAATGTGTCAAATGAATACCATGTGCACGATAGGATTCATGAATATATCCGAAAACATTAACAAAACATCATACAATGGACGAACAAACTACTTAGGTAAATGAAATAGCTGAATACAGATTTATGGTGATTGAAAATAACATGAGTTGAGGTTACTTAGTCAAAAACAGAACTACGAATTAAAAAGAATTGGAGATGCATGTAACCTTAGAAATGAGAACCTAGCGAAACAAAAACTATTTATGTCATTCTGCTCAAATCATTGTTTTTGTGTTCATCAAATTGTCGATCACGTTTTTCACCTTTTTCAAACTTAACACCACTAACTAGCATAAGATTAAGATAGGGATTTCTTAACCATACGTTCTTTAAAATTTACGCGTTTTCAGAAGTGCTGAGCCATAAACCTACACAGCATTGAACGCGAGACATTCACATCATGCGGTGACTGAGTCAAAATTTTCAATTTAGTTTAAATTGTAAGTAAGGATTAATCAGTGAGTGAAGACATACACATCCGGACACATTACATATACGGAACTACCTTGATGTTTTACAAGATACTTCTGTTTACTATGTGTAGAAGTTATTTACAAACTTAAATATAACCAGAATTTAATAAATATGAATAATAGAATTCATACACCCTGAACAAAAAGGTTGTATGAACCTATGGTGTAGTGACCCAAGTACTTGGAATTTAAAATACTGGATTACAAGATCAAAAACTAAGTCCCTTTTCTGGTTGATAGATAGTAAACATCATATCAAACTAGTGGAGGGACTGTCGGTTTTATAACAAGTTCCTAATAGTTTGATAGGTAACCCAGGTTTATATCAACTCTATGTAGCAGAAGCCATAAAGCTCAACTTCAATAAACTTGACATTTGTACTTAGAAAGATATTTTCAGTATTTCAATTTGCACTAACTCCTAGTAAAACTTGCTGTCAACTATACATATATACCAGAAGTAGAGCTTTTTTCATGCTTCCCACTTTTTGCCTTGTGTACAGGGTTCAAATGCAAACCTATGGAGGACTGCGAAGTAATTAGAAAGTCAGCGTCAAGCATTCAAGTACTAAATATATCAAAGATAACTCAAACATTGCATGTATCGAATTCTCAAAAAACCATATAAATTAGTTAACATACGGCCTGTTTTCATTACATATAACAATAAGTACGAAAAATGTAATTGAAAAAAAAATTATCTGTACACAAGTCACATGTTATATACATTTGATTGATAGCAAACAAACTTTTTGTCGCTCTTTAGTCTTTTATTTGATCAACATCGTTTTTAGCCCGTAAATAGTCATAATTGAGATTGAAAAACATGATAAATGTGAGAAATGATATAAGCTAGGTCAAAATAACAAAAAATCCTAAAGTGTCAGTATATTTGATATATGGTTAGCAGGGGAACACATGACGTGGGTTTCGTCCGTTTTGGACACCTTAGTTGACTATACCCGGATTCCGGTATTACTTCCAATATTAAAACTCGAATATGGTACCTCTCGCCTCAACCAGATATGGAGATGTTACTAAGTTTTTAACTTCCTGCTGTTGAAATTCGGGACTGCAATTGATCAATGTTTGTTGCCACATGTACATGCTCAGCAGGTTGCCTCAGTGGTTCATTGGATAACACGTTAGGCGTTGCAGATGAAAGGTATTTGGTTTGAGTCTCAATGTGAACTTCAATACTGTGGGTGTACATCTGTGTGAGCAGCCCAAAACATAAAAAATCCGCGATTTAGATATCACTGTTAGCAACACATTAAATTATACTAGAAATTGTGGCACAAAGCTATACCAAGACAATCCGCTCAGGATGGACATACGGCAATAACCAATCGAACCTTGAATACCAACTAGGGGAAACTAAAATTCTTTGCCAATTCTAAAGTATTATAACCTTAGCAATAGTGACAATAAATTTAATGAAACCACCTGTCTGCATATGACTAGATGCATGTAACTTGAGCTGTAGGTCAGCAGTTCATAACTATAAATCCTACTTCGATACAACTAAAAGTACAAGATGCTAACACGAAACTAACTTGCATCAATTCTTAGTTTAACAACATCGAATGGAGTAGCTGAGTAATAGTTGATCACTTCACTCAAAAGTTTTGTCAATTCTGACGCATTATGATCTTAACATAAATAAAACCTAATTTAGAATTAATCACACACGCCACTTACATTCCTAATAATTTTTAAACTGCCTATCAAAGGGAGAGTGATACAAAGTTGTTTTTCTTTTCTTAAGTTACAGCTCTGAAATATACCTTTCAAAAGCAGACGTGCATATTGCAAGTAATTGACTATACGTGCTTTCAATCAGCTAGTCAAAAAGTCACTACTTGTACATCTGGTGATAAACTAACCGCACGCCAAGACCGCTTACAAAAAGTGTAACTGTTTAGCGAAGTGAAAACTACCCTCAAATGAGACATAACGTACGATGATATTCAGTAAATTTATTACAATACACATCAATTAGATTCCCAAAGGTTTTTTAGTTATATGGATTTATGGAAGTATTTCTACACTATATATAGCCTGATAGATGAAATCCATAACACGTTAGTATAACAGGTCTGTAAAAGAAATTTGATATATTCTACTTTCTATTCCATAATAATCCGTGATAAAGTCACAGACGATTGTATAAGACACACCAGGGTTGTTATCAACAATTCATTATACAAAAAGGGAGAGGGAAGTGTTGGTGACGTTAAATCCTCAAATACAAGGAATAAGGAAGGAAATCAGTCTTAGGATTCTCTTATCAATTTAAGGTGATTTTCGTCTAATTAACCTTCAAAGCATTTTCGTTATATTAATTTTTTCATGGTGAATTCTGTTTATTAACTTTTACAGTGTTTTCCCCTGTAGCGAATATTCAGTACATAGTTATTCAATCCAACATGCATTTTTCCTTGTATTGATTAATTTATTGTAATTTTGTGTTTAGTGAGGATTATTCAGTTTGGCAAACCATTGAAATTAATAATCGCTTAATAGATATATCATTGAATAACTTGAATGTAAATTAATTAATCTCGAAGACTCGATCAAAATAGCTCCTATACAAGCTGAACTCACTCCAGTTAGAGGGAAAGGAAGAAAAGGATAGAATTAGTTTCGTTTACCGTATACAGGTCGGAGTTAAATATTATCTAGCCTAACACACGAAAGTATCAAAAAGATACTGGAAAACCATCCACACTAATCTTTGTCAAAACCAGAAAAGCCAAGAACAAAAATAAATTAAAATCGATTGAACGAATCAATATACAGCACAACGAAGAACATGTTCATCACTTCATGACAAGTGAACCTTAACACAATAAATATCTGCAAAACGAAAAGCATGACCACTTCTAATGTATTCCTCGAGTTTTGTCAACTATTTATTTTCTGACTGGAATACTTAATAACTACAAAGAAAATAGTATAAACACTGAAGAATTTGAAAACCTCAAACAAAATGAGTGAAGTCGCACGAATCAAATAGATTATACTCTTATTGACATACCAGTCGTAGTATTGGTTAGCACAAGAACCGAGAAGCCTGGTAGTCGAAACGTGCTAATGAGCTGGAAGTAACAGCTGCATATAGTAATTCCCGGAAGCTCTTCCAACTCATTCAAACCACTGGCAGCAAGAAGTCTGGTGTGGGTGAAACAATCTATGAAGATGATAGGATGCCAATCATTAACATCCATCGACGTCTTGGACTATGGGCAGAATTCTTCGAAGGGCAATTCAACTGGCCTGCCGCTCCGGCAACATCGGTCAGGCTGTCCTGCTCTCCATGGCTGGTGACGACTGATCCACCAAATGAGGCGGAAGTCCGCAAGGAACTCCAACTCCTGAGGCGCTACAAATCACCGGGTTCAGATGACTTACCTCCGGCTCTTTTTTAAGATGGTGGTGACTTTCTGGCTAAGGAATTGACTGTGTTGTTTACAAAGGTCTGGGAAATAGAGAGTGTACCAACGTCATGGAATAAGTCGACAGTTGTCCCTATCTTTAAAAAGGGTTCACGTCGTTCCTGTAACAACTATCGGGGGATAAGTCTACTTCCGATTGCGTCCAAACTATTGGCTTCTATCAAACTTCGTAGGTTTTTCAACACCCAAGAAAGATTGACTCGTGATGAGCAGGCTGTCTTTCGTTCTGGTCGAGGATGTACTGACACCCTCCACCAAATGTTAGAACACCGTCATACTTATCAAAGGCCAGCAATCGTAGTGTTTCTTGACATCAGGGCTGTCTTCGATCCGTTGGACAGGACTGTTTTCTGGGATTGTCTATCGAAGAAGGGTATGCATGAGATGTTTATTAACATCCTAAAAAGCCCTATATACAAACACCTCAGGTAGAGTGAGGGCATACAACCACCTTTCTCCATTGTTCCATTCAATCAGTGGGGTTAGACAGGGTTGCCCAATCTCACCATTCCTCTTCAATTTTGCCATCGATGACATTCTGGAAACCGCTCTGACGGATGTAAGTAATGGCGGTGTGGATCTGTCGCCTAGAGAAAGACTTCTCGACTTTGAGTATGCGGATGATATTGTCTTACTGTGCGATAATACACAAGCCATGCAATCCGCACTTAATCAGTTGGCAATCAATGTCCGTAGGTATGGTATGTGCTTTGCACCTTCGAAGTGCAAAGTACTTCTACGAGACTGGCAGGATTCTAATCCTGTACTCACTCTGGATGGTGAGCAGATAGAAGTAGTTGAGAAGTTCGTGTATCTAGGTAGCTGCATTAGTGCTGGTGGTGGCGTGAGTGATGAGATCAATGCATGTATATTGAAAGCCAAAGCGGCTTATGCCAACCTGGGCCATCTTTGACGCCTTCGTGATGTTAATCTGGCTGTATAAGGTAGGATCTACAAAGCATCGGTGAGAGCAGTTCTGCTCTGTGCTTGTGAATCCTGGCCTCTCCGAGTTGAAGATGCTAGACGACTTTCTGTGTTTGATCATCGTTGTCTCTGAAAGATTGCTGGCATCCAGTGGCAACGCCATGTTAGTAATGCAGAGGTTCAGCATCGTATGTTCAGGCACAGCGTCGATAATTCAATTAATATCACTATATTGAAACATCAACTTCGGTGGCTTGGACATGTCCTAAGAATGTCGTCCCAGAGAATTCTACATCGTGCATTATTTGCCGACGCTGGGACTGGTTGGAAAAAGCGGAGAGGTGGTCAGTGTATAACATGATGTCGTGGTATGAAAGATGTACAGGACTGGCTTCTGTTGGACCTTCACGACTCCTTGTTTGGGGTACTAGAGACGGTGCAACATAGTGGCTAGAGGCGTTATCAGACACAGTTCAGAATAGAAGCTTGTGACGATCCTACTGTAACTTTGTTTTGTTTTCTTCATAGAAGTGAACGTAACTTCTTTAACTGAAAGAATTCTTTCTGGTTGTATTTTTCCTAACTGGATTGCCTCTACCACTTTTATTATTATTATTATTATTATTATTATTATTATTATTATTATTATTATTATTATTACACGCTCATACACTAATCTCTGTCCGTTGTTCTTTTTATTATACGCACTTTACATTCTCTATCTCTTAACAACCTCATTATTATTATGTGGCGCATATGTATCTGGTGCTCCCTTAAACCAATGTTTATGTGTTCAAACAAATAAATAAATATTAACATACCGTTTGGAAATTATGGATAACGCATTAGTTTGCATTGATTTTGGATTCATTTTACACAGTCCTTTTATGTCTTCCAAACTGATATTACCAGATTCATGAGATAGTTTAATTTTAAAATTAGTCTTAGGTTGCATTTCAGTGATTCGATTAGACGAATCAGTAGCTAAATAAGAATATTAAAAGAGAAATAATAATGTTGTGAAATAGGGCTAACTCTTTTATATGAAATAACGTTAGGTCAAGTAATTTAGGAATATTGGTTTGAGAAAATTGAAAATAATGTCGTGGTTAATAAATTCCCAAAATAAAGTTTGTAAGCATTCAACACTGATGCTGATCTTATTAATTTTAATTAACGCACATAATTCCATTTGAATATGCCGTGTTGTACATCTCTTATGGCAATTAGTCAGACTGGATCAAATACACATCGACAGCGACTCAAGTATACCTTCGTTCTCTACTTCTGATTAAATTGCCTTTGTATTCTATGTTTGAGTAGAGGTTTCGGATGGTAGCGTTGAATAACATTGCGCATACATGACACCTTCAGTGGTTTTCATTGCCAGTTAATGTTAATTACGACTGAATGAATGACCATGAGACACAGCTTTCAGGTTTTGGGATGAGTATGATACCTATGGGTATATTTCGCTAACATCACAAGTGACGCAGGTTGGCAAAAGATAATCGAGTCTTCTGAATCCGTGGCGACATTTCGTCAGACAACAGACCATCAGCACTGACGAGACTCCCACGATAAGTGAAACGGTCGATACGTTCAACTACTTCCCTCCCTATCATCAATTTAGGCGCTAACGCGGGTCAATCCTGAAGTAATACCTGGCATTTGGTGGGATAGAGTAGCATCCTGAACATACTGGTATTCTTGCCTAAAATGGTCAGACAACTATTTCTTTGATGTCTTGATCAAATAGAACTATATCTTCTGCGTATTTTAAGTCAACAAGTGAATCTCCTGGTAGATCAACCCCAAAATTCTTATTTATTTATTTATTTATTTATTTGAATACATAAATATTGGTACAAGAAAGCGCCAATATATATGCGCAAATGATGAACTCTCTACATCTATGGAAACTACCCCAAAATTCAGACGATAAATGTTTTCTCTAAAAGCATGTATATGATACAATTAGGTAAAAATGGGGAATGTGAACAGCACTGACGAACACCATTTGAAGCAACCAATTCTGACAATAGTTCGCCATAAGCTCTGACTCGACCAGTAGTGTTCGAGTAGAGAGCCTGTACAAAGTTGATGTACTTCTTCGGTACGCCTTTCAATGATAGACTGCCACACAACCTCCCAATTAAGTGTCGAACCTTATATTAACGTCGAGGAATACAAAATCTGTCAGATGTCGAAAAGTATGTTTATAATCCAGAATCTGCTGAAGCGTGAATATTTGGTCCATACATTAAAGTCCACGTCTGAAACCAGCCTGATTTTCTTGGGTTTGCTATTTATGAGCTCTATTTAGGCATCGAAGTATTATTGAAGCCAATATTTTAGACACTATTAGCTAAACTGATTCCTCTGTGATTGTCATAAGCAGATTTTCGTCCTTTCACAGATCGAGACCAGTCAGATGAGATTATGTTCAGATTTCAGATTCTAGCTAAGATTTCAGTTAATCTGACTGCTAAAACTGGACTATCATCCTCTCAGGGGTTAGTCCATAAGGTTCTGATGCCCTCCGTCACTTTAGATCTCCTGTAGCCTTTGCAACCCTACTAAGAGTTGGAAGACATATATCAATTTGTCATTCTTATTGCTCGGAGATAGTGGGTAACTGAAGTATGGCTGAAGGCCAGTTGAACCATTCCCTAAAGTGTTCTGCTCATAGGTCCAATCTCCATGGTTAAGAGTGAATAATAATTCCATGTTTTTCCGAGATACTTTCACTAACAGACCGATTTTTAATATCGTTTCCGTGATAGATCTGAACAGTTGTCAACTGTTACCTATCGCTACTACCTTTTTCATCTCTTCTGCTTTCGCTACCCACAATATTCCGCGAGCTTTTCATCGACTTACATTCAAGCTTGTTCTGCTTATGAAAGTAATGCTATATCTGCAATGAACGAGAACACGGGTGAGGACAACCCATTTATTATTACATACGGAATTACAAGATGTCTTCGTAAAATATGAGAACCATACATTAAATGCTTTATTTGCAAATCTTCCATTAATTGTCTTTTACATTCTGTCTGATTTTTCCAATTCACAATTTCTTTCTATCTCCCTTTCTATTTTCTTCAGTTCGATCTCCTTAGCCTTCTGCTGTCAGCTATTCAACTTTTGACTGGTGTTGCATACTAATGTCGACAGACATAAGTAGCATGTACCATATATCTACACTAGCGAGGTTACAAGAAATGACAATGGGGACTCCACGTACGTGAACTAGGTAGTATCATAAACATAAATACACATTAAGATTAATGTCAACCTTCAGTTCCTCATTCAAATACCTAAAATCCGATTATATTGTACAGATAACTTTACGAGAAATTAATTAAATTGAACATATATTGAAATAAAAAAGCAGTACATAAATCTTTCTCATATAACTAGTAATACTATGTGATATTGACTAGTGTTCTGGTGATGAATTGGGTACGGAGTGATGCCACCTAGAAACCAAGATAAATTCATTAAACATTGATTATTGGTTTCATTCACGTGTAAATTTAGAACACGTTTTAATACCAATATAAATGTTCTTTCGACAAGACAGTATAGAGCTGAATCAATATACCAGATGAAATCGGTTATCACTTATACAATACTGACAGTCAAATTAGTATTTACGAGCTTCACAACAAAATAACAGTTTGAAAAATAGGATATTAAAAGAACATGTCCCACTCACTGACTGACAGTTTGTTCGAAGATGATTTATCGGTGAAGTTTTCTTGTCTGGAATAAAAAATTATTACTTTTTGAAAAATATGTGACACCGACTAGCGAAACTAATAAGAAATATCAGCTAGTTACGATTAACAACACATGGAATATTTACACTTCATTTTAAAGATATATTCAACCTGGGAGAAAAAATTACGTTAAACAGAAGTTGGTTGCCCATAAATGAGTTATTATCTCTATTAGTAAACAGTCGGTATTGAGTTGGGACGTTTTTATGGAGACTTAACGATTTAGTCAAATACTAAAAGATAGCTTCTTAGGATAACAGTTAGTTCTGGCACTCACATGCTTCAGTAGTATCATGGTGTTCATGTTAATAAAATGATGTGCTTAGGTACAAAATGTACATGAAGATAAGTGTAATTACAAGTCAACTGAAGCGTAAGAGATTAGGAGATACAGATTTTATACGTCACTCGAGTTTCAATCAAAATAATACCTGACTGTCAAGCCTAAATCTTGTCCAACATATCATACTACGAATAAGTTCATCATCTGTTGTTTCTTATGAGGAAACCCAGTGAGTCTGTGAAACTAGTACTTAATTTCAATACATCCAGACAAGAGCCGCACTGGTTAACTGGATTATTACAAACTTTTATTTGTCTTACTAATCAATTAAGTGACCGCGATCATGCCTATTTCATAAACATAGTGACACTAGTTGGAAACCTGAAAGTACAAGTTACCTAGTAATATAGGAGGATAGTTGGGGAGAGTTTGTCATAAATTAGAGAACAGGAACCACTTTATCTGATTTTAACGCCCCATGATCTCTAAACATGAAAAGCACCAAAGGTTTGGAAACAGGTTAACTCACCTTTTAGCATACATAATTCACGACTTATGATATATTTTAGGAAAGTAATAACAGTAATAACAATGGAACTGCAAGTGTGACTTGGCAGTTTTAATACTCAACTTCTGACTACATAAACACAGATCCATCCTCCGCTCAGTGTATTCTTGTCTGGGGAACTAGACAGAATATTAATCGCTTATGTAATAGGAGTAGCTAAAACTTAAGTACGTCAACTTATTATTGATTAATATTTTGCAAAGATTATTAGTTGCACCTACAAGTAATATAGTTCAGTGTTCAAGTACATATATGTGTATTGGTTATTGAGTCACAAGGATTATTTGGGGATTATATATACATTACACCTGTTAAAAAAAGAAGCAAAAATGTACCGAAGACCGAGTGGTTGTGAACTGAGGGCCTATAATAATGAGCCACAATTCGACGTACTGACTGAACACATATGATAGCCATAAATTACAATTAAATGAATTAGATTAATGATCACATACACATACACGTGATTACATTCAGTGACAATTAGGTGAATAGTTAGTACATTAACTAACAACGAATATACTATTCAGGGTGAGATTAAGGTGAAAACATAACCACATAGTTGGGAGCAGTTTAAAACATAGCTGAAAAATATGACAAAAATTAATCTGTATCGAAGAATTTAAAGATTTTATAAATAAAGAAAAGTGGCTAACATTTAACATACTTTTCACTACCCAGTTGCACATCTGTAACATATAAAGAGGAAACATTTGAAATAGAAACCTTAGAAAATGTTTGAGATCTATTGCTTTGTAGATGCGTGTCCACGAAAGTATTGCATAAAGCATAATTCTGGGCACATGTCACCGAACTTAAGATGTTTTCAGGTACTCCCGAAAACTTGGTTGGTACTGATTCTTCAGATATTTCATGAAATGTATCATTAACTTGCTGCTCATAAGAAGAGTTAACTGGAGAAGTTTTTGTGCCATTTTGTCCTAAAAACAAATAAATAAAAATTTACATACCCTTACTTACCTGTTAACATATGCAACTATTAACTATGAATTAATTAAAAGCATTTTTCATGTAAAAGACAAATACTCGCTATCCAGTTAAAAAACCAGTTACAAATCAATTTAACAAGCAAATTATAAAACATCCGTCTACAAATATCTTGTTTATTATAAAACGTAAAAAACATCCCTCATTAGTTTATCCGTGACCCTGCGGAGCGTATCGCGTTTAGAGTATACAGTGTAGCCCTTTGGAAGAGTTAGGTACTTATTCAAACCAGGACGTCGGTATATACTCTGTTGGTTAGGTAATAGGTTACAGCAAAAGTTAGCTGGTTGCAAAATAAATATTTTCCAGTTATTTATCAGTCGCTGAGATCAAAGTTATGCATTTGAGGATCTTACCAATGGTGCCTGAGGAAACTAACACACCCCGTTCGAGAACCTTCAAGTCTCGCACACAGAAAGACATGAACGAAATGATACTTTTAAGTCATACCACTAGCATCCATATAGTTCTATGTCTTGATACATGGTTTACGGAAAAACCAGGCAACCGTTTGGAAACTCGGTGTTGTGGCTAATCACATAGAGTGGAATCGTAACTCGGTTGATACATCTCTAAAAGAAGCTTCAAGAGTAACGTAAATACTTACCAGCACTGAAAATGTACGGGACAGAAGAGTGATAGCCAATTCCATTAGGTTTATGTTCATGTCTCCCATCAAGAGAAATATTGGATAGAAAGTTGAGAGCGGCTAATTTATGACGGCTCTTTTTGCTCCTCATACAAAAGAATGTATAAGTTGTTTATTTAACTTAAAAGTCCCAAAAGTAAAAGAATCATTATGTCCCCACAAAACACGGAGTAGAATAATTGATGAGATGGAAGTCCCACAGTCGCCAAACATTGAGAAATAAACCGATTTACTGTATTGTTATTTCGAGACCAAATACTTCTGAAGTGAAGAGACCACTATGTGCCAGGTGACGGCTCAAGATGAACAAACCAGAAACTTCTGGGAAATAATAACAGCATGAATATCAATAGTGATAAAAATCGAATAATCATTTAAAATATTAAGCAAATATTATCCGGATAGTATGAAAAATAAATAACTTCAACAGTATTGCTACAAGGTGAATCAGCGCAAGTTGAACCACGAGCTACAATGAAATTTGAATTTGACTAAAAAATTAGTTGTATCAAAACGTCCGTGCCCCCAAATGCCCTGGTATAGCCGAGAGTGGGGAGAGTCCGCTCTCCCTCTCGAAATGCTCTCATATGGCTACACGTATATAGCTTCTGCCAGGGAAGTTCTACTCACTGCCTTCTCGCACCATGGGTGTTGTTTACGAAATTGAGAGGACGAAAAGCGAATGTCTGGAGCTTTAACCGGGTTGGTGGACATGGAGAGTCCATCTAGGGGAATTGGAAAACCCTCATTCCAAACCAATGGTGCACATGGGCTACAGTACCCTGAGGGAGCAGATGGCGTATGAACCAATCGTTGGTCACCTGCTACCATGGGACTGCATCTCCTCACGATGCTCCACTACCTTGTGTATCAGACCTTCAGGTCGAAGGCTCCGGGCGTGGTCCCCTAAGAAAACCACCTGTTTCGGTTTGGGCACCCGGGCAGTATCACAGCCCTCACACAAATATAATGAAAACGATGGTATTTACTGAAAACTCTATTCTCGCTTCGATCAACAATCAAACGATTCACATTATTATTTTTTACGCCATTTATTCACTCGCTTTTATTCCCACTTTATGTGTCCTTATTTTTCGACTTACACAGCAGCTCGCCTACGGTGGAGACTCGGGCCCAGATGACTTACCTCCGGCTCTTTTTTAAGATGGTGGTGACTTTCTGGCTAAGGAACTGACTGTGTTGTTTACAAAGGTCTGGGAAATAGAGAGTGTACCAACGTCATGGAATAAGTCGACAGTTGTCCCTATCTTTAAAAAGGGTTCACGTCGTTCCTGTAACAACTATCGGGGGATAAGTCTACTTCCGATTGCGTCCAAACTATTGGCTTCTATCAAACTTCGTAGGTTTTTCAACACCCAAGAAAGATTGACTCGTGATGAGCAGGCTGTCTTTCGTTCTGGTCGAGGATGTACTGACACCCTCCACCAAATGTTAGAACACCGTCATACTTATCAAAGGCCAGCAATCGTAGTGTTTCTTGACATCAGGGCTGTCTTCGATCCGTTGGACAGGACTGTTTTCTGGGATTGTCTATCGAAGAAGGGTATGCATGAGATGTTTATTAACATCCTAAAAAGCCCTATATACAAACACCTCAGGTAGAGTGAGGGCATACAACCACCTTTCTCCATTGTTCCATTCAATCAGTGGGGTTAGACAGGGTTGCCCAATCTCACCATTCCTCTTCAATTTTGCCATCGATGACATTCTGGAAACAGCTCTGATGGATGTAAGTAATGGCGGTGTGGATCTGTCGCCTGGAGAAAGACTCCTCGACCTTGAGTACGCAGATTGGGCACCCGGGCAGTATCACAGCCCCCGGATCGCTTGTTAACACCCTAACCCTAACCTAACCTTAACCCTAACCCTATGGACGAGTTTCTATACCATATGCATTATGAATTCCGAACCTCTGAACCTTTATCAAACCTTAACAAGTTTTTAAATCGTGTAAAAGAAGAATATCCACTGTAATTCATTGCTTACTTATAATATATTTTCACTTTATACTGTCTTCTGATTGGCTGATAATTGTCAAGGTCATTTGAGATTTGTTCAAAGGTCGTCCCTAGACTAGACTCTCGCCGCAAAAACTTATCGACATCAGTCGTCTCATTGTACCTGATCACGAGAACTTTATTCACGTTAAATAGTAACAGTTACGACTTTATGGGCTGAGTAGTTTTGTTTTAATTAAAATTAACCATTTTTAGAACCCCGACCGAAGCTGCTACCTTGACGCGGAGGTCGAGCTTACCTATCGTGATGACCCAACCGAGCTATATTGGCTGGAACATATGTTCCTGTAGGTTCTACCATGCCAGGCAGGTCGATTGGTGAACGGTAAGACTAAAAGCAGCAACTCAAGGTCTGATGGCGAAGTCGTACTGCTGACTGTAGAGAAGTGTGACAGCAGTAAGGTGTTTCCCTCGGACAACCAGCATGACACCGATGCTGCCTTCCCACAAGGAGGGGTGGGGTTAGAAAAGGTCGACCCTAAAAATGTCACACCTCACCTTACCTCACAGATTTCCGTCTCCGGCGGTAAGGCCCTTTGAAGAACGGAGCTAACACGTCAAAAACCTTCCACAAAAAGGCCGTGCGCGACCGGCCTCAAGCAGTTGTCCCTTGGGCTCTGCGGTCACGCTCCCAGGTCGTCAAGACCAACACTAATCCAATTTCCTTTTCAGGTTCCTCAAGAAATACCCTTCCACGGTGTGGGCAGCCGGGAAGTGACATCAGCCCTCATACCCGTAACAGCACACGAGACCAAGTTGGTCACAATCGAATCCTTCCTACACCTCCTAATACCTCTCTTATCTCCATGACTAACCCTCCTCACGTCTCTTTATCACCGCACCGCTAGGGCAGACGATTCAAGTACGTGGAACGCTATTCCTGGTCTCCTGAAACCACGCTCTAAACTGCACGTAGGAGCTTTTAACGTACGAACACTTTGCCAAATAGGACAGCAGGCTTCCTTAGCTAGGACTTTAGAATCTCGTGCCATCGATGTGTGCTGCGTCTCCGAAACGCGCATACAGGATCCGAGTAGCGTCATTCATTTGACCTCACCATGCCAAAATAAAGAACCGACTCGATTTACGCTTCGTGTATCTGGAAGCCCTGATTCTGCTTCCCGTGGCCTCGCCGGCGTAGGTATAGCATTGAGCCCTAGGGCAGAACTAGCTCTCTTAGAGTGGATCCCAGTAGACAGTCGTTTGTACGCTGTCCGACTAAACGGAACAGTAAGGATCCGAAAAGATAGGGACACTAGTCGTCGCCTTTTCGTCGTTTCTGCCTATTCTCCCACTGACTGCAGCTCGGATGATGTAAAAGATGAGTTTTACAGAAAGCTCTCCGACCTTCTCTGAAAAGCTAGGCGCTCGGATGTAGTAATGGTGACCAGTGACTTTAATGCTCAAGTAGGTAAACTAAGCGATAGAGAAAGACACTCAGGTGGATCTTATAGCATCGTGACTCAAAGAACAGATAATGGAGACCGTCTGTTGCAGCTATGCTCAGATAACCGCCTGTTCCTTGCAAATACTAACTTTAAGCATAAGGAAAAACATCTTTTAACATGGCGACCCTCTAATTCGTCCCAACGTTGGACCCAAATAGATCACATCGGTATTAGCCACCGATGGAGGGGCTCGATAGAAGACTGTCGCTCATTCTGGAGCACATGCTTAGATTCAGATCATGCTCTAGTACGAGCGCGTATTTGCTTGCGTCTTACTGGACGTAGGAAAGACGTTGCAAGGAAACCTCTTAGGGGCCTACTTAATGATAGTCAAGCTAAGAGTATATTTCAGGAACAACTAGGAAAACAGTTAGGCAGCCATGTATGTGATGCCCACCCCGATGTAGCATGGAATGATATCCGAAAAGCTGTGGACACAGCAGTGATATCTGCTAGTAAGGTAAACCAGAAGGTTAGGGAGCAACCCTGGATCTCAGCAGCATCTATCGCACTGATAGATGCTCGGAAACTCATTCCACCTGGCTCTGAACATAATGAAGAGCGGAGTCAGTTTAAGCACAAGCTGAAAAGAAGCCTACGCAATTATGACGAACAGTGGTGGGTAGCGAAATCAAGAGAGATGGAAAAGGCAGCGGCAATAGGTAATAGCAGACAATTGTTCAGACTCGTTAAGGAAACCGGAATTAGGAACCCGACCGTTAGCGAAACAATCTCAAAGAAAGATGGACATATTATTCATTCTCAATCCAGGAGATTGGATTGATGGGCAGAACACTTTAGGGATCAGTTCAACTGGCCTTCAGCCACATTTCGGTTTCCCACGATCTCTAGTCAATCTGAATGGCAAGTTAATGTAGGTCCTTCGTCCCTTTACGAAATTGAAAAAGCCATAGGAAATCTGAAACGAGAGAGAGCAGCAGGCCCTGACAGGTTTACTCCTGAGGTTTTTAAGGATGGTGGTTCAGTATTAGCAGTGAGATTGACTGAGGTCTTAGATAGAATTTGGGAACTGGACGTAATCCCATCTGACTGGTCTCAATCACTGATTGTGCCAGTCTATAAGAAAGGACAAAAGTCCTCTTGTGACAATCACAGAGGAACCAGTTTGACTAATATAGTTTCTAAAATATTAGCTTCAATAATACTTCGACGCCTAATCAAAGCTCGTGAAGAGCAGATTAGAGAAAACCAGGCCGGTTTTCGACCTGGACGTGGTTGTATAGATCAGATATTCACACTACGTCAGGTTCTAGAACACAGACACACGTTCAGACGCCCCACAATGGTAGTATTTCTCAACCTTAAAGCGGCATTCAACTCTGTTGATCGTGAGGTTCTATGGCAGTGTTTGTCACTGAAAGGAGTACCAAAGAAGTACGTTAACCTTGATAAGGCTCTCTACTCGAACACAACTGGTAGAGCGAGAGCTTATGGCGAACTGTCACC